ATATATATGGTTTATGAAGCCCATGTCATATTTAAGGAGTCCTGGTGATACAGTGGTTAAACACTTGGCTGTTAACTGAAAGATCAGTGGTTTGAACCCACCAGCCACTTCACAGGAGAAGGATGTGGCAGTCTGCTCCCATAAAGATAACAATCTTAGAAACCTTATGGGGCTACCCTGTCCTGTAGGGTTGCTACAAGTCAGAATTAACTTGACAGCAATGAGGTTTTTTTAAAATATTATGTTTACTTCTGTTAACTTCCAGAATATACTTAATTCCTCCTTTTGTTGTATACTTAAATTGTTCTCTACATATTCTTTTTGAAGGATTTTTCATTATAATTTAGCAGATACTGTTCAAGAACCCATAAACCTTTTAAAATTACGTTATGACCATTTCCATATCATTAATGGTTATAGTGTAATTTTCAAAAGGATTCAAAATTACCATCAAGATGTTACCTCAGGATAGTGTTATAACAGATTATTTTCATTTTCTTATTTGTACCTTTTCCCAAAGCTCTATAACATTTTTCTGACAATTTCTGTCATCAGCAAGTAAAACAGCAGTGTCATTAATAATTAGAATCAGAGACTTAAATATGTTTCAAAGCAATATCATGTATTCTTATTACAAAGATTTAAGAAATTGATAATAACCACTGCTAGTGAGAGTAGAGAGACTACTGTTTTCATAACAGTTGAGAGGGAAAATTGGTATAAAACTATCCAGAAGATATTTTGGTTGTGTTTCTGTAATGCAAAGTATGTGTTCTGCTTCTAGAAATTTATCTCACAGATGCTTTAGCAGAAGTACTAAAAGTTATATCCCCATTCTAGCTTTCTTCCATAATTAAAGCAACCTAAATGTCTACCCGTAGAGCATTACTTAAATAAACCATCGTACAGCCATGTGGGGGATATGCATGGTCATTAACAAAGACTGAGGTAGTTGGAGGGGGTCAGGAAGTAGGCTCCAGCTTTTGGGCTTCTGTCCACTCCAAAAGGACATCAGTGCAAGCCTGAATAAGAAAAATAATTTCTTCCACCTAAGCTGTGGCATTTAAGTTATACAGAAACACCGCTTTGGGAAACAATCAGAAGAGCCTAGATGAGCTCACTCAATCTCTGCAGATCACTGCCCCCCAATTTGCCCTTCAAGTTCTACTTCAGTTTGATAAGGCTATAAATTCAGCATTGGCTCAGAGGTCAGAAACAGAGTCAATTTCAGGCCTGTGTGTCTTTGGCTGCCTTCCCTGAAGAGTTACTGAGATTTCAAATGCCTGGAACACTGTCTACAGGATTGAAGGGCCCTCTAAATACCTACAGATATGGTGATAATGTGTGGACTTTTGTTTTGAATGATGTTGAATTCAGCAAGGTGGCAGAGCTTATTAAAGTGGATAAAGTGAAAATTGTAGCCTGTGATAGTTAAAATACTGGCCCCAATACTAGAATGAAAAAAAAATGGCTTTTTCATGCCATCTTCTGTTATTATTCATCACTTTCTGAAGAGAAGCATAGAAGAGACTTTTTAAATTTATTCTAGCAATGCAGAAATGATAATATACACTGTTACATTATCAGACTTGGGTTTCTGAGGCAGTATCACTGCAGAAGTAGATTGCCCAACCTTCCTTCCAAGGAGTAGCTGGTGGGTTTGAACCACCAGCCTTCTGGTTAGCAGTCAAGTGCCTTAGGCACTATGCTACCAGAGGATCTCATTAGTGATAACTATATGCATAAGGAAGTGAGTCTTGCTTGAGAAGGGATATCAATAGGGTGTGAGAGAAGCAGGGACCATGGATCTTATTTTTATACTTTTCTATAAAATGTTTTTCATCATGTTTTTATTAACTTTTATCTTTAAAAAGATCATGTTATCTTAAAATAAGAAGGAGACTTTTATAAGTCATTCATGCTAATTTTATATCCAGTCTTTCACTGGTAATAACTACCAATAAGCCACTGATCCAGCCTCCTATTCCTGACAGTCAAACACATCTTAATTATAGAGGGGAGAATCAATGTTAGTTACTGAACTGGGAAAACCAAGAAGCCAGAATGCTAAAGGTTGTAGTTTCATTAATTTGCTACTGGAAAGTTGGTAACACTTCAATAAAGTCCTATCAGAAGATGCATAGAAAACAGGGTATCTATTTGAGAAGGCATGCTATACTGGAATCATATGCCAAAATGACAATCAAATACAATATAGCATGGTGCAAAAAGCCTGGAATTGGGGCCTAAAAAGACCTTTGCCAATTTCCAGATGGATAACTTTGGGCAAATTCCTTAAGTACTCCAAGCAGTCTGCTTTACTGGTAATGTACAAGTGTGTGCAGAATCAAATGGAATAATGTGTAAGAAAAAAAGAATTGGTTCTGGAAAATAGAAGGTACTTAATAAATCATGTTGTTGTTGTTATGTGCCGTCAAGTCGGACCCAACTCATAGCGACCCCTCCTTGGGTTTCCGAGGCGGTATCACTACGGAAGTAGATTGCCCAACCTTCCTTCAGAGGAGTAGCTGGTGGGTTTGAACCACCATCCTTCTGGTTAGCAGTCAAGTGCCTTAGGCACTACACTACCAAAGCTCCCATATCTGGTGTAGCAAATACAAATTGGCATAGTGCAAAAAAACCTGGAATGTGGACCTAACAAACCTTTGCCAATTTCTAGCCATATAACTTTGGGCAAAGCAGTACATTTGCAGCCCCATGGGCTCTTATTCTTTCCCTCAGGCATGATGCACTCTCCAGGATTTGACAGCAGCAGCAGCCTCAACTTTCAGATGCTGATGAATGCAGACAGCCTGTACATGGCCGCACACTGTGCTCTGCTCCTCAACTTGAAGCTCTCCCATGGTGACTACTACAGGAAAAGGCCAGCCCTGGTGCCTGGCATGATGGTGAGTGTGCGCTCGAGTCAGTCATTCTGAGGGAAAGCGGTGGCCTCTCACCTATACAGCCTAGTGCCAGTGCGCTGCGAGAGAAATGGGACACTTTGTTCTACATTGCTCTGTGATGGGCAATGCCTTGTGGGGCTGTGGAGAGCAGAAAGAGACAGAGATATAGGGGGATAGTTGTGCAATTTGCACAGCGCTGCGAGCTGCAGAGCTACCTACCTTGATCCAGAGGGTAAAGAATTGAGAGTGCCTGCTGGAGAACCGAGTAATTTCATCCAGTGGCATTATGACACACATAGACACACGTTCAAAAATACATGGTCAGTGGTGGAACCCCCAAGATTATGGCCCTGGGATACCCTTTGGGCCTGGGATTGGACTCACTTCCAAGGATCGACCCTCAGCTCAACAGTAGACTTACATGCAGAACACCCAACCCAGGGTGATGCATCCACATACTCTAGGGAGATACACCCCATGGAGCGGTTGGCCATGGGGCACCAGGAGGGCAGCAGTCACATGAAGGGAAGGTTGGACAGACAGGAGTGCATAGCTAAGGGGCACGGGAAGGGGAGGGGGCACAGGGATGGGAGTGGAGGAGAGCGTGTTATGGTTGGGGATGGTATTTGGGGTATGAAATCAAACATACACAAACTGTTGGGTGTAAAACAAATTTTGTAGTGTAAATTTGCACCCAAAGCATAATAAAAGAGAAAGAAAGAAAAATACATGGTCAAAATGGAGGAAAAATACAGAGCAGAATTTTAGATTTTCATAGAATCTAGACTTTCTGGAGCCACTGAGGCTGGATGAACCTCTAAAACTATTACCCTGAGATAATCTTTAAATCTTAAACCAAAAATGTCTGCTGAAGTCTTTGTAAACCAAACAGTAGCGTCACTTAATTTGTAAAGAATGTCACCTTGAGTATTGTGTTCTTGTAAAGAACTGTCTGTATAGGATCAAATTGACAACAGCAACTTGAAAGGTTAGATAGGAAGCTTGGGACAATGAGTTTATGTTAACGGAGAAGGAACAATTCAGAAAAGGAGGTGAGAATGGTTACACAAATTTAAAAAATTAACCAGTATCACTGAATTGTACATGTAGCAGTTGTTGGTGTATGACTGTGTATATTTTCAACAACAGTAAGAAAAACACATGGTCAGTGTTACCTGACATCAATAGATATGCAGGAAATTATCCCCTTTGCTGAAAATGAAGGCATATTGTTGTAAAAACTCTTCATTTTATTGCAAAATGTGCCCAGCCCTAAGCTTCCCAATTGCTAATAATAAAGCACCTCCTATAAGTCATGGAACAAGAGATGTCACTTATTCTGGGGAACACATTCCAACACCTCTGCTGCTGTTTGGGCAGTGAGAAGAGAAAGCTCTGTGAAAGATATCTGCAGTTTCTAAACTTCCCACACACCAAATAGTAAAATACAGAATACAGTCTCCTAATTCTTCTACAGGGTATTTTAATAGGGTGTCATAAGTGAAAAGAACTTCATGAAGTTTGGAACATCTCCACCTCTGCTTTTCCCTGGTTTATCACCCTCTAACCCCAGTAAACAAGACACTGTGTTTCCTGGAAGCCTTGGTTCACTTAGGAGATGTGTGGAGGGATGAGGCAGCGAAGAGCTCAGGATCCTATTCATAGGCAGATGCATTTGGTCACGTCTACTGTGATCTCTCTTCACAGAAGGAGTTCATGAAGCAGGTGCAGAGCAGCGGGGTGCTGATGGTCTTCTCCCAAGCCTGGATTGAGGAACTTTACCATCAGGTGCTCGAGCGGAACATGCTTGGCGAAGCTGGCTACTGGGGCAGTCCAGAAGACAACAGCCTGCCCCTCATCACGATGCTGACCGGTCAGTGACTTGCTACAGGGCTTTGCAGTATTTGGGTGGGAAGGCTTACACTTCAAAGGCCTTTTCAGAGAAGCAATGGTGTTTCAAGCAGATGTTACAACAGCTTCCACAGAGCTTCCCCTGGAAATTCCAGGAGGTGTCACGAATCACCTCAAGGAGCCTTCTGTCCTTTTTCCTGTGGGAATTTGCAGGGCTCACTGTGCTCCATTGGATGAGGACTGACTTAGCACCTTTGTTTGTTGGTGCAAAACTCTAGCCTCTTCTGGGGATAGATAGTACTTTCAGGGCATGTAGCCCAGAATTATACCTGGAAGCTCTCACGTGCTAGTAGATACCCTGTGTCATTCTGTACTCCTGGGATTGTACCAGTACTGTAAAATGATTGGTTTTAAACCTGGCTTTGTTCCCATTTCCTGTCTCTATATTAGTGGTTCTCCAGTGCCTTCCCAGCTGTACCAGAATTAAAAATGAAGTCCAATAGTAGCCCAGAATGTTGGTCTTCAAAGTCTGGAGTTTTTAAAATCCTTTTTAACTATTAGAAATTTCATGAGAAAGTGTAGAGAGCAGTGTGCATTGTTGGCGTTCAGCAAATTTTTTTTGCACACACAGCTGCTTATGGCTTTTCATGGCTCAGATGTGATGTCAGTAAAGATCTGGGTGTGCTCAAAGGTTTGGAGTGGACTTTGGTAGCCTGGAGAAGTTTCCTGGTCAGATATTAGAGCTTTTGAATTTCCTTTCTGGGCAATAAAAATCAAAAAGTGGGCTGTAAGATGATGTAATTAGAGATGAAAATCTAGAACAATGATCTGTCTGCAGGGAAACACAGGGAACTGAGTTGACTGAGTATAGAAACTAAAGACACCTGCCTCTCTGAATGCAAAGAAATTAGCACCTGAAACTAGGTCATGGCAGTGAAAATAAAAGAAAAAAGGTGCAGTTGAGTTCTGACAAAACTTGGCAACTATTAGAAGATCAAGGGTGATTCTGAAGTTTCTAATCAGAAACTAGGAGCAAAAGGATGGCATGTTTAAAAAAAAAAATAGGAAGCTGTGATTCTGAGGCAGTTTGGGACATATTAACTTTGCATGAAAGATGTTCTAGAGGCATTAGAAATATGGATCTGAAATATAAGAATGTGTCTAGAAATACAGCTTTGGGAATTGGACACATAGAGGTGACAGTTGATGTGATGGAAGGGACAAGATTACCCAGAGAAAGAGAATGATGACAACAAGTGTAGCTGACATTTTCCAAGTGCTTACTATATGCCCAGCCCTGTATACAGCATGTTACCTGCTTTATACTGTTGAACTCCTACAGTGGAATAGAATCAGTTCTTTCATTTTTCCCTTTTGTAGAAATGAAGAAACAGGATTAGACAGATTCAATAATATAAACAAGGTCATGCCATTAGAAATTGATACATGTGGAAGGAAATTTTCTTTGTTGGTTAGCAGGGGTGGGAAGGAGAGGGGAGGGAACACTGCAATCAATCAATCAATCAATCAAAAGGAAAAAAAAGGAGGGCGAGGAATTTAAACTCAGCTAGTTTGATTCCTGAACATAAGTTCATAGCCACTTTGGAAGGTTTTGGACAGAACCTTAAGGAAAGAAGAAACACAAACCCACTTCAGTAGGGATTCAAGGTGTTGCCCAGAGCTTATAAGTGCCTTAGAATTTGTTGTTGTTGTTATGTGCCACTGAGTCAGATCCGACTCATAGCGACCCCTCCTTGGGTTTCCGAGACGGTATCACTATGGAAGTAGATTGCCCAACTTTCCTTCAGAGGAGTAGCTGGTGTGTTTGAACCGCCAGCCTTCTGGATAGCAGTCAAGTGCCTTAGGCACTATGCTACCAGGGCTCCTTAGAATTTAGATGAGCCTAAAAAGACAAAACTATTAATGCAGAAATCGAATGGCAAAGATTAGATATATGGAGTGATATCAGTAGTGTCATATGCAGAGAGGAGACTGAGAAGAGTGGGGAAGGAGTTAATTTGTGGCCTAACATAAGAAAATTAGGAGAGTCTTAGAGGCAAAAGAAATGCTAACACTGAGAAGCAAAGAAGTTGGAGCAAGAAGCAAACCCTCAACTGGAGATTCTAAATCTTTATGATTTTTCTTTCTTTCTTTCTTTTTAATTACTTTTTTAACATGAAAAAAGGATGCAGATTCTTCCTTGGTAGTATTTATAATTTTACTATCCTTTGATTAGAAAGCAGGTAATATTAAACACTACTGTGAATTCAACACTGCCTTTTCAATGAATTTATGTTTTCTTAATCATGATAGCATTTGCATCCATTTGAAAACTAGTGATTTGTATACATATATTTGGTCTACCTATAAGCAATGCTTGATGTCCACCTGACTTCACAAACCCCTTCAATAGGAATTGGAAGTGTTTTCTAGAGCTTATACGTGCCTTAGAATTTAGATGAGCCTAAACATGTCAGCTTTAATTTTCAAATAGCATAGTTTCTGCCAAAAACAGTATCTATGAATGTCTTACCTGAACCTTAATGATAATAGTCACTCAGTAGATACAAAAATGATAAATAACAGACTGTTCTCAGTAGCCGTATTCATCAGTCATTACTGTTAATTTCTTTGATTATGGAATACTCAACCACACTGCCATTAAGTTGATTTCCACTCATAGCAACCCTATAAGATAGGATAGCACTGCCCTGTAGGGTTTCCAAGGCTGTAAATCTTCATAGAAGCCAACTGCCTTATTTTTCTCCCATGGAGCAACTTGTGGGTTTGAAACCCTGACTTTTTTGGTTCGCTTTAACCCCTGCATCACTAGAGCTCCTCTTATAATGGAATAGTAAACTCAATTGCTATGTCTGTAGGACAGATATTTAACTGGCTATTTCTGGTATAATGTTAAGGTGTTCAATAGGACTGAGTGATTTTAGTGCTTACCTAGCACACAGGAAACATTAACACTTTGATAACTACTAGTTAATGTCATCAGACCACTTGACCTTAAGTTAAATTCAGAGAATTTGGCCTTTCCCACTTCGGCAGCTATATGGATTTCTCCCCATACTGAATTCTCACGTGTGGCTCAAAAGTCTCCAGCTTCTTTTCCTGGAATTTTACAAGAATCAAAGCTATAATGAACTAATTTTCAAATACCATGTAAAGGCGTCTCATCATACTGAAGTGAGGGTAAAGTTTTGATGTCAGGGCATAAATTTATGTTCCCTTCCCTTCCCCTCCTCCCCAATGTACTTGAGGGTTGCATTCAATTGTATTAGTTGTACATGTGCTTCAGCATCATGGGCCCTTCTCCAATGGTTATTTCCTTTATACCAGGGAGCTGGGGACCCAGGAAATGGAATGTCTGGCCCAGCTTTACATGGCTACTGAATTTTCAGAGCCAAGGATGAAGCCCAGTCTCCTCTTCCCGTAATGCTAAGTAGTGGTTCTTGGAACTAATTCCTTATATGAAAGTATGTTGTAGCACAACTTTAAGTAAGAATAATTAGTAACCCATATTGAGCTAGAAATGAATGTTGTGAAGAGACCTGGACTAGGAATCAGAAGGCATGAATACTAATCCTAATCCCTTCCTTTACCAGCCTCAGGGCCTTGAGCAATTTACATAATTTGTTTGAAAATTTGTTTCCTGCTTTGTGAAATAGGAAAAATAATACTTACTCCGCCTAACTACTTTGAGTTGTTGGAAAAATCAAATGAAAAAAAAGTATTTCAAAACACTTTGAAAATTGTAAGGTATTATCATCAAAGTGTTATACTTTGGAATCAAAATACAGCAGTGTGTCACCAAAGAGTTTTATTATCTTACTAATTCTTATGAAAAAGCTCTGAAAGAGAATCCATGTTAGAGTAACCTGTACATGAGCATATTTTATCTGTTTATAAATGCACATGTGGCAAATAAAGAATTATAAGAAATTAATTATGAAGTGTATACAAGTTGGAAATAGTGTCATGCTTTTGAATAAGATGGATATTCAAAGATAAAAAAATATCTAAATCAATAGATTCTCCAATGGCAGAGATAGATGAATTTATCTTTATTTTTTTCAAATAAGAAATAGGCAACAACATGACAAAAGAATGCCCTGACTATGAAAGGAAAATAGATGGAAGGAATTGTAAAAATTATTAAATTCTGACAAATGGCTATTGCAAACTTGGTGCATTACAGATACAGCAAATATTTCTACAATAAACATGGCTACTGTGGTGGCCATTTGCTTGCTTATTTTTGAATGAAATGTTTTGCTTAGGAAAACCTTGCTCTTTTTTCTTGACAGACATTGATGGCTTAGAGAGCAGTGCAATCGGGGGTCAGTTGATGGCCTCGGCTTCTACCGAGTCTCCTTTCACCCAGAGCAGGAGGATTGATGACTCCACAGTGGCAGGTAATGACTTGGGTCTTGGGTTTATGAATAAACATACATTGTATGTGCTACCAGCAATTAAATTTTTATGTAGCAGCTTTCTGTGGTGACATAAATGAATTAAGGTTTTGTCTTAGTAGAAAAAGTAACTGATGGAAGTTACTTACCATCAGGCAGCTGATGATGCAACATTCATTATTTATAAGCAGAAAGTGAAAAACAATCCAACATAATCCATTTAATGCTACTTCCTGTAGTAGAACTGACTACAGCTCAGTATTGCTAATTCGATGGTCAAAGAATCACACGCCATTCATTGCTAGGTAGGTTTTTGTCTCCAGAAAGTGACCCATACCCCTCCGTGTCCTAGGTGTGGCATTTGCTCGCTATATTCTGATTGGCTGCTGGAAGAACTTGATCGATACTTTATCAACCCCCCTGACTGGTCGGATGGCAGGGAGCTCCAAAGGACTGGCCTTCATTCTGGGAGCTGAAGGCATCAAAGAGCAGAACCAAAAGGAACGTGATGCCATCTGCATGAGCCTCGATGGGCTGAGGAAAGCTGCCAGGCTGAGCTGTGCTCTAGGTACAGGTGGGAGTGGTATTCCCTGAGCCCTGAAGTGAGGAGATGTTCCCACAGAACACAGTGCTATTGCTGTTGTTAGGTGCAGTCAAGTTGTTTAGACTCACAGTGACCCCATCTGATAGAGTAGAAATACACCATAGGATTTTCTTGTCTGTTGTGAGGTCTTTCTCTCACGAGTGGCTGGGTGGATTCAAACCACCCGGTGAGCAGCCAAGCTCTTAACTGTTTATACCACCAGGCCTCTATGAACACCATGTAAATGGTCCAAGGAAATAAGTCCTTTGGAAGGGGTCCTGCTAGGTGAGTGGTTGGAGAGTGAAACTGGTTAAGAAGAAACTGTTTCCTCTAAAGGGGTTGCCGCTAACTGTGCCTCAGCCCTTGCTCAGATGGCAGCTGCCTCGTGTGTTCAAGAAGAGAAAGAGGAGCGGGAAGTCCAAGAACCCAGTGATGCCATCACACAAGGTAACAGCTACAGAGCCAAAGTCACCTGGTACTTGTTTGTAGTATGTACACACCTGTCCACACCCACACTCATGAGCAGATGCTAGGGCTCATTCTGTGTGTGATATGTGGTATATGTATTCCTCTAACGACAGGATCTCCTTTGGACCACAGGCTGGGGTGTGGTTTATGTGGCTGGCCCTACAGGGTTCTTACAGTAGATCCCTCTGGTTGCGAGGGAAATACTGGCCCCGGGGGCAAGGAAAGTGCAGTTGGCTGCTAACAGGAGTCCTGTGGGATTCCAGAGGCCCACCTGGCTGAGCTATTCACATCTCACCACTGTCTTTGGGGCTTCATGGAAGAGCATACCCACCAGCCACTCCTCAGAAGGAAGGTTGGACAATCTACTTCCATAGTGATATTGCCTCAGAAACCCAAGGAGGGTTTCCTTGGGTTTCTTTTTAATTACCTTTTTAACATGAAAAAAGGTTGATTCCTGAACATAAGTTCATAGCCACTTTGGAAGGTTTTGGACGGAACCTTAAGGAAAGAAGAAACACAAACCCCCTTCAATAGGGATTGAAAGCCCAGAGCTTATAAGTGCCTTAGACTTTGTTGTTGTTGTTATTATGTGCCGCTGAGTCAGATCCGACTCATAGCAACCCCTCCTTGGGTCTGACTGTGAGTCAGGTCTGACTCCACGGCAGTGAGTTTGGTTTGGTTTGTCAGGCTCTACAGGGGACAGGCAGCAGGAAAGTCGAGCACATGAGGGAAATGAATGAGGGGAAACTTGGAAAGACTTTGTTCTTGTCAGAGAAAAATCTGAGCTTTATGGACTCAGAAGGAAGGGTTGATTTTTAACTTTATTAATTTCAGTTAGTTATTGAAGCTGATGATTATCTAGCTATAATGAGAGAGAATGGCTTTTCCAATAGCAATCAAAGATAAAAGGCAGGCAACAAACAGAGGAAAATGGGAAAGTTGGTCCAAATTTTTCTTATACATTATATCGAATATTTAAAATAGCTCATCTCAGAAACAGTACATTTTTTAACTGAAAGAAACAATTTAGATCAGTGTTCCTCAAACTTGAGTGGTATATAGAGACTCATTTGAAGGCAGAATTGTCCCCACAGATCTCCATCACTAACTGAAAAAAAGACTATCACAATTTTGCTTACATATGTATGACCATCACTTCTATTGCTATTGAGTTGCCATTGAGTCGATTTTGACTCGTGGTGACCCCATGGGTGTCAGCAGAACTGTGCCCATAGGGTTTTACTGGCTGTGACCTTTTGGAAGCAGATCACCAGGCCAGTCTTCCAAGGTACCTCTGGGTGGGTTCAAACTGCCGACTTTTTGGTTAGTAGTCAAGTGCTTAACCATTGTGCCACCCATGTACAACCATAAATTTCGTAAGAATCCTTATGTTTATGTTGTTGTTGTTATGTGCCATTGAGTCGGACCCAACTCATAGCAACCCCTCCTTGGGTTTCCGAGGCAGTATCACTACAGAAGTAGATTGCCCAACCTTCCTTCCGAGGAGTGGCTGGTGGGTTTGAACTGCCAGCCTTCTGGTGAACAGTCAAGTGCCTTAGGTAGTACACTGCCAGAGTTCCTCCTTATGTTTATAGTTATTTTAAAAAGTGAATATATAAAATGTAAACTAGTATTTAAATTATATACAAATAAAAGACCAATGTCACATTCATGACGCAAATGACTTTCTGCTAAAAATCAGTTTGCCATTTATAATAGATTCGAAGATTCTACTGAAGTTAGCTTGCTGTCTTTCTGAGATCTGGGCCATCACTCAATTATCCCACCATTACTCCATCTTCCAACAGCCTAAAGCCTTTATTTATGGGGGGGCACTGTGTCATTTGGCCTTGACTTGCCATTTTGTATCATTGACACCTTAAGTTACCTTCTACATCCTCTCTGATTAGCTATCAACAATAAAGAACTATTATTTAGAGATCACAAGTACAAATGTAAATACAGAGAAGGAAGTGATATGACAGTTGTCAGTTTTAAAGCAGTCATCTAGGTGCTCAGAATGTGCATATATAAGTTGTTTTAATAATCATCAGAATAAAAGTATGACGTTAGGAAAATCTCCCAGAAAACTTGCAGACCACCAAGAACTCTTCTGTATTACCAGTTTGAATGCATAGGGAAAGATGAAAGATATGGCCCAGATGGCTTTAGCTGGAGTTGGTCCACGAAGCCCATCCTCACCACTATGCCTGACCCAGAACCTCTGGACAGGCAATGACACCAATCTGTTCAGAACCCACTGGCTTCTGAAGCCACAGGGCCAGGGGATCCAATATCTGTGGGCCTGGGCTGGTGGTTTGCATGGTGGGCCATGGCGACCTGCCATGTGGGAGCTTGCTGCGCCCTTGCACCACAGCACATCCTTTCATTTTCATCCTTTCTCTCTCCCTTTCTGTCTCCCTCACTCAGACTGTTATTTTAATAAATGTCTTTCTGGCACAGTGAAACTAAAAGTGGAGCAGAAACTGGAGCAGATGGGGAAGGCGCAGGGGGTGTGGCTACACACAGCCCACGTCTTATGCATGGATGCCATCCTCAGCGTAGGCCTGGAGATGGGGAGCCACAATGCGGACTGCTGGCCACACGTGTTCAGGTGCATGGCGGGATTCCCTACCCCCAGTGGCACCAAGCCTGCTTGGGGAGCCTGGGGTGGGAGGAGGGGTGTGTCAAGAGTCAGCCAGCAACTTCATAGTTGATGATTATCATTCTCAGAGTCTGACCACACTCTAAAAGAGAGTTAAAGAGTGGAGGAGAAAAGGGCTCAATTGAACGTATGTTTTGGAGAACAGAGTGACAGAAGTGGATGTGGGAAATTGGGATTTAGCTGTTGACCTTTTCTACAAGAAGCAGATGTCTTATACCAAGGACTAAAAGTCAGTATCTTAAAGAGTGGATGGTACAAAACTGTATAAACCAAGTGAATACTGTGTGGATCTGAAAAGCTAGTCATATGTCCATGCTATAACATTACTTTGTTAATTAACATTTGCTTTGTTTTACAGAGGATTTTTGGTAGCTTATGTGGATACATAAAGTACAAATTGCCTATTTTTAATTTAACTAGGCAAAAGAAAAACATGAAATGCTTCATCCATGCCAAAGGCAGTCCAATTAACTTGATGACTTGGCTAAGCTTCCTAGAACCAAAGTCAAAAGAAAATCTGTTACGTAGTTGCCGATAAGGTGAAAACAAAGCAATAGCTCCAGAGCTTAGTCCTCCCACCACTAAGACTAAAAGCCATGTCTCCCCAGACGCTGCCATTCGCTGGCTACAGTAAGATGGGAGGAGCATTGCCAGGAAGAGGGAGACACATTGGCAGTGTGGGGGGCACTAGCTGGATAACTCACACCAAGTTGAGTTCGGTCAGGGCAGTAGTGGGGCAGTCAGAGGAGCTGATGATGGCTCAGAGCAGTGGTCAGGCGCCCAGGACTCGCCTAGGGCACTGACGAGATCAGGGTTCAGTTGGACTTCCTCAAAGGAAATAGGTTGTGGTCATTAGGAGCCATCAAGTCAGTGGCAATTCATAGTGGCCCCACGGGACTGAGTAGAACTGTCCCCTGGGGTTTCCTCGGCAGTATCCTTCTCAGGAGCAGACTGCCAGGTCTTTCTCCCACAGCACTGCTGGCTGGGTTTGAACTGCCAGGCTCCTAAAGTAACTATAGCTATGAGTAATTTGTCAGGTTTCAAAGAAAGAAAAGCATGCAGATTACTTAAAGGTTGAAAAACAGATCTTGAGAGCCATGTCTAAAAGAACCAGGATGAATTAGCCTGGACCAGAATGGGTTTAATATGGAGGTGTGTGACCTGCTACTCTCCCAAGGGAAAAAGAAAAAAAACCTTAAATCATACCTAAGCAATTTGTACAGGATGTGAAATTTTTCCTAATTACAGAATTTCAGAATGGATTATCGAGGATGGTCTTTATCCATAAAGGCAGACCCCTGAGAGAGGCCCACTATGGCCAGATGGCTGCCAGCCATACACACACTCATTCAGGATCCAAAGTAAGGCAGTGCTTCCAAGTCCTAATTGGAAAACTCTGTGGAGGGAAAGAATCCCTTGGGAAACTAGCTAAAACCAAGCTAAGCCAGTGAGCTGGCCAGGACCAGGCAGGACGGACGGGGCATCATTGTTGCCTGCCTTCCTCCCAGCACGGGGTGAGAGGATCCATGGAATGCTTGCCCCATTTCCAGGCTATCTGGTCCAACTCAAAGACTACTACAGTAATATGTGTAGGAAATAGATAATTACAGAGAGGTGGCACCTATGTTAAGAGGACAAGAGAAGAAACTGGACGATTGTAGGTGGCTGAATTTCCTTTGTGCCTTACTAAGGGGTTTAGGAAACTGGCTAGGCTGAGAGGCAACACTTACCAGCTGCTTGTCTGTGATCCTCTAGGGTCTGTGAGTACGTGGGCACGTTGGAACACAACCACTTCAGTGATGGCACCTCGCAGCCCCCTCTGACCATTAGCCAGCCTCAGAAGCCGTCTGGTGGCTCTGGACTTCTCGGGGACCCTGAGTGTGAAGGCTCACCCCAGGAGCTGAGCCTGGAACAGGGGAGCTCCCTAAGCTCGACCCCGGTCATCCAGCCTCTCTCCATCCAAGACCTCGTCAGGGAAGGCAGCCGAGGCCGGGCCTCTGACTTCCGTGGTGGTAGCCTCATGAGTGGGAGTAGTGCTGCCAAGGCAGTGCTCACCCTCTCCACCCAGGCTGACAGGTGTGTAGGCCATACCCCCGTTTACCCCAGATGGGCTTCTGACCATGTGGCACCCATTGCCTGTTAGCAGCACCCACATCCAGGGCTCCCCCTCTATTCTGGTCCTGAAACCATTCCAGGAACCACTGTGATCTTTTCAAAGCCCCTCTATCCACCTCCACACTCCATACTTGGAGTGAAATGTTCCCTAGTTGCTGAGACTGTCAGCTAGGAGGCCAGACCACCTGGTAAAAGCTTTGCCACTTGCTCTGTGATCTCGGGCAAGTTCTTCTGTCTTCCTGGTCCTTGACTACTTCATTGGAAAGATGAAGCTGTTTTTAATAACTTAGAAATTAAAGCTAACTCTGAGAGTTTTGTTCCCAGTTACACATTTTTTGGGAAGGACACAATGTCATATTTCAGCTTCTTGCCAAATGTCTTATGAGTGCACACCATGGCCTCAGCTAGGCTAGGAGAGTGGAGGAATTTTTAAAAAATATGGCTGGTGCCATTGGAATTAAAATCCAGTGGCAAGAGCACACTTGTACACAGTACTAATAGATAGAGTAGTACCATGCATTTGTTTGTAGTGTTTACACAGCATTTTCATTCATCACGTCTAACAAAATTACCATAATTACTCTGCCATAAAGACTCTGCTGGATTCTTTCCAAGTAACATATCTTTTTTTGTTTGCATCCAGGCTTTTTGAAGAGGCTACAGATAAGTTGAACCTAGTGGCTTTGGGAGGTTTTCTTTACCAGCTGAAGAAAGCTTCACAGTCTCAGCTTTTCCATTCTGTGATAGACACGGTCGACTACTCTCTGGCAATGCCAGGTAATTCTTTCCCTAGGGAAATTGTGCCATGAGGGAGGCAGGAGACAGCCCCGTCTCAGATACCAAAGGCATCCTGAAGAATGGAGACCACATTCCCTTTGCACATGGCCACCCTGGCTAAGGTCCAGTGCAGATTTGTCATTTGGTTTTGAGGCACCCTATGTTCCATGGGGTATACTATTCTTTGTGAATGGAAATATTGCTGCTACCACTGTTCCAGGTGGTTTGATTAAGTTTTGTGCTTCTGATATAAAACTACTAAGGGTGCTTCCTATGAAAGTTGGAACCTTTCTCCATGTCACAAACCATACCACTCCCCTCAGTCCAGCTAATCTGCAGAGCAGCTACTGATTCTAAAAGAGATTGGTAAGAGAGAAAGTAGGATGGATCAACAGAAATCTGATCCTTCTCTTAGAAACACTGCTCTCGAGGTGTAGCTCAGTAATGATGGTCGTTATTCCTGTCTTCGTGAATCAGGCCAGGCAAAGAGGAAAGGCCCTCTTGAAGGCCAGCCTTATGGAAGAGGGAGTAGAGTTGAACTCACCTACCCACGGGTCCCAAATGAATGGCGGGTTGCTCACACGTGGAATGGCAGCACAGACCCTCCTTGAAACAGTGAGCTTCTTTCCCAGATGAGTGCAGACAGGAGCCACAGAGCCATGTGTTGGGAGAATATGCTGGTGGCAGGTTGAACCTTGCAATCTCTTAGGTCCCTTTCATCTTTAAGAATCTGAGCTTCCAAGTGTAATTATTTATCCTTTTGATCCTTATAGCAGGTTCTAATCTAAGAAATACAGTCCTTTCCCAACTGGTTTTTAATAGATTATAAAACCTTGGCTCTATCAAGCCAGCCTCTCAAACCTGTGAGACTTCTAGTGTAACTATGAGCCCAGAGCCCTCAAAGCTTCTCTGTTGAAATCAGCATCAGGCCCTGAGCTTCCAGAGGATGAGGACCGGGGTCAGGAAGAGAACCCAAGCGGAGGAGGAAGACACATTGGCTTTGGAATCAGATAAAAGTTACAACTTTCTGATCTGTACAATGGCAATGATTACATTTACTTCTTAAAGATGCTTTAAAATTTAAGTAATTAAAGAGGTAAAGCAACACACAATATCTGATATATTATAATCATTTAATCTACGTCAGTGATTATGTTACCTCAGAGTGTATTTGCCATGGCAAGACTAATTACAAAGGAACATTCTGGTTGGAAGAGTCCAGGAAAGATGAATATTTTGTAGGAAGTACGGAGAAGTGATAGGACAGAGTGAACAAAAAGGAAATGGGGAAGCCCAAGTGACATGGCAAAGTAGTTGAAAGAGATCATCTGCGTGAGTAGATGTTGAGTTCAGTAGCGCTGTACTCTAAGAGATACCAAATCGTTCCTACGTCCTTGTTGGAGCTGTTAGACCTGAGCGTAGAGGCTCATGTGTGTGTGTGTGTGTGTGTGTGTGTGTGTGTAGCTAACTACCTCTGCTGTTCAGTAGGCATCTATGCAATACCAGCATGCTCATCAGTTCTGTTCTGACAGAGGGCAGGGGAGTTATCACCTCAGTTTTCATCCTCTGTGTGCTTGAGTTGGTCCGACTATTTCTGTGCATGGTTTTTATGATGTTTGTGGTCTTGCCTTCTTGTAGGAGAAGTTAAATCCACCCAAGACCGAAAAAGTGCCCTCCACCTGTTCCGCCTGGGGGATGCCATGCTGAGGATCGTCCGGAGCAAATCGCGGCCCCTGCTCCACGTGATGCGCAGCTGGAGCCTTGTGGCCCCACACCTGGTGGAAGTGAGTACCTGGGAAGTGGCCAGTAGCCAGAACTGCTGGAACTACTAGAAGGACCAGCTGTCTCAGGGAACACCACAACAGTGACACCACACAGGTTTCCAGGCATTGTGTAGACAAAGGGCACCAGGGCCGTAAAGCAAGGGGAAGTTTCCCAAACCACGTTGTTCTCTGGTTATCCCTCATGACATCTGAAAAATCACTCCCAAAATGCTACTCTGGTCGTAATATGATCCTATTCATTGCAGTTATCCAACTCAGGTACATTATACAGCCAGTTTTTCCTTTTTTGTGATCTAGTATCAATCTAGATGAGTGTGGAACTGAAAGATAAGTAGGTAATTCCTAATATCTTCATTTTGTTCCTGCTGATGTCTCAAACCCACCAGCCACTCCTCAGAAGGAAGGTTGGGCAATCTATTTCAATAGTGATACCACCTCGAAAACCCAAGGAGGGGTCACTATGAGTCAGGTCTGACTTGATGGCACATAACAAAAACAACAATCTCTCATTTCTTAAAAAAAAAAAATTTTAAAAAAGCTAAATATACTTACGGCACTATCTTCTCAGTAAGGAAACTATGATGTTGTTGTTAGGTGCTGTCAAGTTGTCTCTGACTCATAGCGACCCCATGCACAGCAGAACAGAACACTGCCCGGTCCCACACCAGCTCCATGTTCCTTGCTGTACTTGAGTCCATCGCCACAGCCATTGTGTCAGTCCATCTCGTTGAGGGCCTTCCCCTCTTTTGTCAAACCTCCACCTTACCAAGCATGAATTCCTTCTCTATGGAATGGTTCCTTCTGACAACATGACCAAAGTAGGTGAGACGAAGTCTGGCCATTCTTGCTTCCAGGGAGCATTCTGGCTGCCCTTCCTCCAGGACAGATCTGTTAGTTCTTTTAGCAGTCCATGGTACTTTCAGCATTCTTCACCAGCATCACAGCTCAAAAGCATTAGTTCTTCTTCGGTCTTCTTTATTCATTGTCCTGCTCTCACATGCATATAAGGTAATTGAAAATACCATGGCTTGTGCCAGGTGCACCTTAGTCCTCAACAAGACACCTTTGCTTCTCATCACTTGAAAGAGGTCCTTTGCAGCCTACTTGCCCAGTGTTGTACGTCATCTGATCCTGACTGATGCTTCCATTGGTGTTGATTGTAGAACCAAGCAATGTGAAGTCTTTGACAACCTCAGTCTTTTCTCCATTTATCATGATGCTGCTTATAGGTCCAGTTGTGAGGATTTTTGTTTTCTTTATATTGAGATGTAATACTGCAGACTGTATTCTTCAATCTTCATCAGTAAGTGCCTCAAGTCATCCTCACTTTCAGCAAGCAAAGTTGTGTCATCAATGTATCGCAGGTTGTTAATGATTCTTCCTCCAATCTTGATGCCACATTCTTCTTCATATACTCCAGCTTCTCAGATTATTTGTTTAGCATATAAATTGAATAAGTATGGGGAAAGGATACAGCCCTGAAACAGTCCCTTCTTGGTTTTAAACCACGCAGTGTCCCCTTGTTCTGTTCGAACAACAACCTCCTGGTCAATGTACAGATTCCTCATGAGTACAAGTAAGTGTTCTGCAATTCCCATTCTTTTCAATGTTACCCACAATTTGTTATGATCTACACAATCAAATGCTTTTGCATAGCCAGTAAAACACAAGTAAACATCTTTCTGGTATTCTTTGCTTTGAGCCAAGATCCATCTGACATCAGCAATGATATCCTTTGTTCCACGTTCTCTTCTGAATCCAGTTTGCACCTCTGAAAGTTCTCTGTCAGTATACTGCTGCAACCTTTTTGAATTATCTTCAGTAAAATTGTACTTGTGAGATAGATATTAATGGTATTGTTCTATAATTTCCACATTTTGTGAGATCACCTTTCTTTGGAATGGGTACAGATATGGATTTCTTCCAGTCAGTTGGCCAGGTAGCTGTCTTCCAAATCTCTTGGCATAACCGAGTGAGTGCCTCCAGTGGGACATCCGTTTGTTGAAACATCTCAATGGGTATTCCATCAGTTCCTGGAGCCTTGTTCTTCACCAGTTCCTTCAGTGCAGCTTTGACTTCTTCTTTCAGTACCATTGGTTCTTGATCATATGCCACCTCCTGAAATGGATGAAGATCGACCAGTTCTTTTTGGTACAGTGACTCTGTGTATACCCTCCATCTTCTTTTGATGTTTCCTGCATCATTCAATATTTTGCCCATAGAATCTTTCAATATTGCAACTGGAGGTTTAAATTTTTTCCTTAGTTCTTTCATCTTGAGAAATGCCGAGCCTGTTCTTCCCTTTTGGTTTTCTAACTCCAAGTCTTTACACATTTCATTATAGTAATTGTTTTTGTCTGTTCAAGCTGCTCTTTGAAATCATCTAATCAGTTCTTTCATCTTGTCATTTCTTCCATTTGCTTTGGCTACTCTCCACTCAAGGGCAAATTTCAGAGTCTCTTCTGTCATCCATTTTGGTCTTCTCTTCTTTTCATGTCTTTTTAATGACTTCTTGCTTTCTTTATGGATGATGCTCTTGTTGTCATCCCACAATTCATCTGGTTTCCATTCATTGTGTTCAATGCATCAAATCTATCCTTTAGATCATCTCTAAATTCAGGAGAGATGTATTCAAGGCCATATTTTGGCTCTTGTGGCCTTGTTCAACTTCAAGTTGAACATGCATATGAGCAGTTGATGGTCTGTTCCACAATCAGCTCCTGGCCTGGTTTTGGCTGAAGATATTAGCTTTTTGATAGCCTCTTGCCACAGATGTAGTCTATGTGATTCCTGTGGATTCCATCTGGTGAAGTCCACATGTATAGCCACTGTTTGTGTTGTTGAAAAAGGTATTTGCAGTGAATAGGTCGTTAGTCTTGCAAAATTCTATCACGCAATCTCCAGCATTATTTCTGACACCAAGGCTAAAATTTCCAACTACCAGTATTCTTCTTTGTTTTACACTTTTGCATTGCAGTGATAATTAACACATCTTGATTCCATGTTTGGTCAAGTTCAAACTGCAAAAGTTGATAAAAATCTTCCATTTCCTCATCTTTGGCTTTGGTGGTTGGTGCATATATTTGAACAATAGTCATATTAACTGGTCTTCCTTGTAGGCATACAGATATTATCCTATCACTGACAGCATTGTACTTTAAGATAGATCTTGAAACATCCTTTGTGATGATGAATGTCATGCCATTCCTCTTCAAATTGTTATTCCCAGCACAGTAGATCATATGGTTGTCTGATTCAAAATGGCAAAAACCAGTCCATTTCAGCTCACTAATGCCTAAACTATCAATCTTTATGCATCCCATTTCATTTTTGACAACTTTCAATTTTCCTAGATTCATAATTACATTACATTCCATGTTCTGATTATTAATGAATGTTTGCAGCTGTTTCTCCTCAATTTGAGTCCTGTCACGTCAGCAAATGGAGGTCTCAAAAGCTTTACTTTATCGATATCAGTAGGTTTGGCTCTAGTCTGATGATGTATCTCTTTCCCAGTAGTATTTTGAGAGCCTTTGGACCTAAGTGGCTCGTCCTCCTGCACTTACCAGACAATCTTTCTGGGCTGTTCATAAAGTTGCATAGTAATATAACAGACAGTGTTTCTCTGCTATTCATAAGGTTTTCCCTGGCCAATTCTTTGAGAAGTGGATGACCTCTTCCTTCTTCCTAGTCTGTCTGAAACTATACATCCCAAAATTAAAACAGTTGCATACCTTTACTCTCCAGAGGAATTCTGTTTGTATGATTTATTCTTCCGTAACTCTACATTTAAGTGAAGGCAGACCAAACATGGGTCCCTGTCTGGTGCACAATCAGGCCAAACTAGTTTCTACACTGAATGATTAAGAGGAGAGAAAATTATTTATTGCAAAACGGTAACACAAGGAAACAGGGGCCAGTACCCAAATCTGACTCCCCGAATGGGGGTTGGGATATGGTTTTTGTAAAGTTCGGGAGACAGGCTTATACATATTCATAAAAATTTCAGGAATTTGGGTGTGAATTAACTGGGGATTGGCTGAGGCTTCCTTTGCCACGGTTTAAAGGGACAGTCAATTTTTAATGCAGTACGCTTGCACACCGGATGAGTCACACCGACCTCCTATCATCAGCTGACTGGGACTTGGGCAGAGGGGAGGATGTCAGTTCTGAGCAAGTTTGTTTCCTTTGCCTCACTGTGCATGTCTCTGGGCCAAAGTTGATTTCAAGTTGTTTTCTGAAAAGCAGCTTTAAGAAAATGCATTAACATACCTATCTCACTGTTTCTAGCTAGGGTGGGGGATAACAGTGGAGAGGATATGTGAACTGAGCTTCAATTCAGCTCAGCTCTTAAGGAACCGAGTTAGCATGTTTACGTATCTGCCTCCAACCAAGGTAACAGACAAGATGTGGACTGAACTTTGATTCATGAGTTTATCATGTCTGCCCATCTGTCTTAACCAAGGTGGGAATAATAATGAACAGGATGGAGGACTGGGCCTCAATTCAGCTCAGCTCTTAAGGAACTGAGTTACCATGTTTACTTATCTGCCTCTAACCAAGGTAATAGACAAAAGGGGGACTGAACTTGGATCCTACTCAGCTTCATAAGCATCTCAGTCAGTGATAACTGGCTATTTCTAAGTTGATGAGGAAAAATCATTACCTTGGTTTACAGAGAGAACTATTCTCACATAGCCCTCTAGCACTTATTTGGTAGTGGTAAGACAAACCACTCTAAAAAGTCATGGCTTAAAGCAGCAGCCATTCATTTAGCTGTGATACTATGAGTCACAAATTTGAGCTGTGCTCAGTGGGCAGTTCTGATCTGAACCAGGCTTGACTGACCTCACCTGGCCTTACTAGTGTAAATACTAGGCAGCCTGCTTCAATGATAGCCTTGACAGATGGCTGGGCAAGTGGATCTTTCTCTACATCACCTCCTATCCTCCAGCAGGCTAGTCTAGGGTTATTCACATGGTATTCTTAGGCTTCAAAAGAACTGCAAGAGGGTAAACCCCAAATCACAAGTACTTTTGAAATCAGTGCTTATGTAATGTTTGCTGTTGTTCCAGTGTCCAAAGCAAGTCACACATCCAAGCCCAAGGTTAGTATGGGAGAGGACTACAAAAGGGCATGCATACAAAGAGGTGTGAACAAATTGGAGTTATTGTTACAACTGATCCGCCTTACTGAGGGGCAAATGATTCATCTGATCTTCCTTTGTTTGGGACAAGGCTAAGAAATAAGACCATGAGCAGTTCTTAGACAGGGTTCTGATATCTCTATAGTGAGCATGTTTAATACATCCAGTAAAACTGTTATGTTATGGGGGAGGGAGATTACTAAAATCTCATTTTTCCAGAAGCATTAAAGTGAAATTGGAGGTGTGTCTGATCAATTGGTTAAATTATTAAAAATGCAATTTAGTATCCCTTGTAATTTTTCTACATTAACACAATTGCTATTTCCACCTCCCTATAATGATCCTTCAGAAACCAAAATCTTACTTGGCTAAAGTCCTGATGGTTTTCCCTTCTCCTGTGAATTTTGCAGGCTGCTTGCCACAAGGAAAGACATGTCTCTCAGAAGGCTGTTTCCTTCATCCATGATATACTTACAGAGGTTCTCACTGACTGGAATGAGCCACCTCATTTTCACTTTAATGAAGCACTCTTCCGACCTTTTGAGCGCATTATGCAGCTGGAGTTATGTGATGAGGATGTCCAAGACCAGGTGAGTGTGTCATGGTAATGATTGTCATCATCATCATAGCAAGCTTATTTTGAGTGCAGTGGCAGGCACTTCTCCACATGTTTTGCATGCTTACTCCTTACAGTTATTCTTTGTGGAATCTGTGACAGATTATTTAAAACTTCTTAATTCACAGACTACATGATCTTCTTGTATGTAGAAAATCTTAAGGAACTTACCAAAAAATTGCTAAAATTAATAAATGAGTTTAGCTAGGTCACTGGGTATAAGATCAGCATAACATCAGCTGGATTCCTATGGACTACAAAGAAGTTATCCAAAAATGAAATTTAAAGAAAATTTCCATTCATGAGAGCATCAAAATAATAGTTAAAAATAATAATAATAACAGAAGTTTAAAATGTGTACACTGAAACTGATAAAACATTGCTGAGAAAAATGAGAGAAGAGCCAATTAGGTTATGAAATATACCATGTTCGTGGATTAAAAGACTGAATATTTTTTACATGACAGTTTTCCCAAAATTGGTATATAGACAGTGCAAAATCCCAGCAGACTTTTTTGGGCAAAGCAGTTCTCATATTTATATGAAAGAACAACATATCAGAAAAGCAAAAACAAATTTGGAGAACTAACACAACCTACTTTCAAAACTTATCATAAAACTATAGTAATCAAGACACTGTGGTATTGGTTTAAGGACAGACATACAGATGAATGGGACTGAATAGAGTATACAGAAATAAATTGTCATATTTGTGGGTAATCAGTTTCTTACCAAAATGCTATTACAATTCTATGGGATGGACAGTGTTTTCTTAAACAATTGACTGTCCATATAAATTAACTTAGGCCATACCATACACATACACACACACACAAAAAAAAAAATTGGTTATAGACTTAAAAGTAAATCCATAACTATAAATTTTTAATTACGATTTAAATGATAAATTTTCTAGAAGAAAGCATAAGAGATAATCTTTGAGACTATGGGTTAGGAAAAGATTTCTTAGAAATAATCCACAACAAGAAAAATTAATGAATATACAAGATTACATTTAAAAACTTTTGCTCTTCAAAATATATTAAAAAATAAAAAGATAAGCCCAAGGCTAGAAAAAAATTATTCGCATTCCATATAGCTCATAAAGGATATGTGTCTGAAATACATGAAGTATTCTAGCAATTCAATAATGAAAAGAGAATGAAAAGAAAAAATTGAATTTAAAAAATAGGTAAAAGATTTATAAATGGCCAATGTTGTTGTTATGTGCCATCGAGTCGGCCCCGCCTCATAGCGACCCCTCCTTTAGTTTCCAAGGCGGTATCACTACGGAAGTAGATTGCCCAACTTGCCTTCCGAGGAGTGGCTGGTGGGTTTGAACTACCACCCTTCTGGTTAGCCTTGGACTTATAAATGGCCAATAGGCATGTGAAAATTTGTTTGGCAACATTAGTCATTAGAGAAATGCAATGCAACTTCTTACTTTGATGATTTTAGAGTGAATTTGTTTGGGTTCTGGCTACTCTCTTTACTAATATTAACCCAGCAATTTGAGACAGAGAAGTACATCATCCTTTCCAGAAATTCTCCTACTGCTATTAAGGAAAGGATTTTAACTGCCACCGTCTTTGCCTCTCTAGGTGGTCACTTCCATTGGGGAGCTGGTTGAAGTGTGTTCCACCCAGATCCAATCAGGATGGAGGCCCTTATTCAGTGCCCTGGAAACAGTGCACAGCGGGAACAAGGCTGAGGTGAAGGAGTACCTGGTTGGTGACTACTCCATGGGTAAGAAGGTTTAGATGACTCTTCCTTTGTAGAGCATTAGTTCTTTATGCCAAGTGTCATACTATCCAAAGAAAGTAACAGGAAATTGAACAATAGGAAAGATTGACATTCAGCTATGTTTTATCAGCAGGAAATAATCTGGTATAGCAGGGATACAAGTTCTCAGTTCTGCCAAAAGGCTGAGAGCTCTAAGAATTGTCAGGTCCTGCTCATAATGAAAGTTTGGACAAAAGACTGAAAGACATCTGTATTAAGTTCATTCCTAGTAGAAATATAAAATGTCATCCTCATGCTAATAAGACCCAGAAAAGTATCCTAACACAGGGGAATCAGAATTTGGATTTTGGGTCTGGTTGGAAATGAATGGGCTTCCATAAAGCATGCCTAAGGAGCAGAGATGTTGTGTGGGGCTCCCAAAACTAAACATCTCTGCTCCTTAGGCATGCTTTATGGAAGCCCATTCATTTCCAACCATCTCTAAGTTCAGAGATTTGCCAGAACTCATGAGACTGAGCATATAGTTATACTCATGGCTAAGATATATTACAACAATATAGTAAGGATACCCAGCCAGGATCATAAGGGAACAAGACACAGGTGCACACAAAATGTGCTGTTCCCCCAGCAACAACAATACAATATATTCCTGCCCAAGGAAGTCCATTAGCATCTCAGTGCCCAGAGTTTTTACTGGGACTAGTCACAGAGGCACCTTGTATCTGGCATGTACCAAAATTCCATACTCTCAGAAAGAAAGCAAGTGTTCAACATACACCACATTGTTTATACAGTGAACTCCTCTTATCAGTTAGCTGTTAACTCAGAATACCCTGAGAGCCAAGTCCCCGGACACCAGCCAAGAGCCAGCCTTGCAAGAAGTCCTTTCTAAAATGGGATCTCAGGCCTGCACAGATGTGAATAATTTAGAATGTGCCTTCAGACACATGCTATTCCTACACGTTTAACTGCCCTGTCAGAGCTTTCTTATGTCTGAATTTACGTACACATGGCTTCAGCCCTGCAGTCAGCCAGCTTTGCCTCCATCTCTTCTGCAGTTCCCCTGCAGGCTAAACTGGGAAGTACAGCATTGGAGCCAAGCCAGCTGTACAGTCAAAAAGGCCTGGACATTTTTCCAGTAGATCTTTTCCAAGTCCCAATGGGAGATACCTGCAAGGGAAAACTTAACTTTCCTAAAATCCTGCACTCTTCTTTCTACAGGAAAAGGCCAAGCTCCGGTTTTTGACGTGTTTGAAGCCTTTCTCAATACTGACAACATCCAGGTCTTTGCTAATGCAGCCACAAGTTACATCATGTGCCTTATGAAGTTTGTCAAAGGACTAGGTAAATAGGGTTTCCTTTCCTACCTCGTAACAGCTGGGGACTCCTTCCAGGTTGGCTTTGTGTGGAAGGCCCTGACGACAGGTGCACTGGCTGCCTGGAGCAAGCAAACATACTGAGATATGAGCAGATGGTGTGAATGGCTTGTGTTATGTACTCAGAAGCAGAAAGCGTACTGTGAAAGTGGCTTGGATTTTGTCCAGGGTTGATATTTTTTATTAGGTTCATGGAGTAACCTAGTAGTGTAATGTGCTTTAAGCCTTTATGCTGTTTTATTCCAGTTTCTTTCTAAATCCTAGCATGTTCAGTATTACCATATTCAATATTATCATATTCAAAAGTTGGCTTTACCAGTTGATTTTTTAAAATTGTATTTTGAATTATAATTTTGGTATCACGTGTAGAAAACTACTCTCCTCACTATCACGTAATTAGCAGCCTGAGTTTAGCTTCCCAGCTCCCAAGCAGAAAAATTCAGAATGCCTCGTGGCAGTCCTTATTGGTTGTCAAATGTCAATCCCTGGGTTACACACAAATGGTTAAGCGCTCAATGACTGACTGAAAGGCTGGCAATATGAACCCAGCCAGAGGCACCTCAGAAGACAGACCCGAGATCTGCTTCTGAAAGCTTACAACCATGCAAACCCTGTGGGGCAATTCTGCTGTGCACACATGGGGTCACCATGAGTGGAAATCAGCTTGACAGCAACCAACAGACAGTAGAAGGCCCTCTTCTTTGAGACCACCTACCTTTTACAGACTCCTTAACTGATTTCATGCTTAATTTAGTAACACTTTAACAAAGCAACGTGTTACTGCAAACATGACGTACAGCAGAAGGGAGATGTGGTTAGTTCACGTAAAAGTTTAAAAGGAAATTACCTTACACTTTTGAGTTTCACCCTGGACTGCTCTTGGACCTGGAGCCTTAGAACCTTTTAAATGGGAAAAACATGAGGTTAGTAATTTATTTATTTATTTTTTTTAATGAAAATAAGATTTAGTGAAAACATATGTGAAAGCCATACATAAAATTAAGGTTAATAATATTCTTTTGTTGGGAGCTCTGGTAGCATAGTGGCTAAAGCACTTGACTGCTAACCAGAAGGCTGGTGGTTCAAACCC